GCGCCCCCGGAGGACGGCCGCGCGCGGAGCGGCCTGGGCCCCCTGCCCTTGGGCAAGCCCCGGCCCGGGGCCATCTCGCCTCTGAACTCTCCTCTGTCCGCCGCCTTCCCCTCTCCGATCGGCAAGGAGCCCTTGCCCCCTAGCAGCCCCCTGCAGAAGGGGGGCTCCTTCTGGAGCTCCATCCCCGCCTCCCCCGCCAGCCGGCCCGGCTCCTTCACCTTCCCGGGGGACAGTGACTCCCTCCAGCGGCAGGCGCACCGCCACGCGGCCCCCAGCAAGGACACGGACCGCATGAGCACGTGCTCCTCGGCCAGCGAGCAGTCCGTGCAGTCCACCCAGAGCAATGGGGTAAGAGCGCCTGGCCGCCTCCGCCCGCCCGCCCCGCTGCCTCTGTCCCGCGGCTCCTCCTCTTCTAAACCTCCCGCGTCGCCGCCGCTGTCCTCGTACTAACTGCGGGCTCTCCGCTGCTGCGCTGCGGTAATCAGCTGCTCCGGGCCTCCCTGCGCACTGACCACGCAGACCCGCGGGACGCCTTCTAACCCCTCCTGCTCCTGGCGGACGGCGCGCTCTCGTCTCTACTAACTCGCTCCTTGCTTGGTTTGTGTCTCCTTAATACGGGAACGCAGATCATTAACCTTCTGAATGCGACATCTTTAAGCCTTTCACGTTTTCCGACCAACCGAGTATCTTGAAACTTCCTCTCTAGCTCCTGCCTTCCTCACACACCTTTTTTAGAGGGGTCAGTGTCCCCTCTGTCTACCTCCTACGTCAACTGAAAGCTGTACACTCTAAGCTTTTTGCTCATCGCTTGGTTGTGCTCTTTTACGCCTTAAATTACCTTTGCAGCGTTTTTGACTCATCTGCTGAAAAAAAAACCCTCAAGAAAACTTCCAACAGCAATTCAAAGCAAACTTAAACTGACAAAATGGGTGGAAGGACTCTCTCCAGTGGAAATATTTGTCCGCCCCCCTACCCCCCCAAAGTTTCACTGTGGAAGAGAGTCTGCTCTGGGGCCTCTGGATGGTGGGCTCCACCGGCGGCTGGGAGCGGAGGCGCAGGGAGGCTGGATTCGGAGCGTCCACGTTCTGTCCAGCAGGGGGCGCAGTGCGGGCGCCGGTCGCTGCAGGGCATCGCCCATCACTATACGTGTTCTCAGCAGAAGGGTTGCTGTGGTGGGGTTTCCCCCCATCCTGTGGCTTCCTCACTATCCTACCCGACTGTTTGCTACACGGCAGGTGATCTGACCCATAACACCTTCCCAGAGGCATGCATGAGGAAATAGAGCTGTTCTAATGAGTGTATATTTGATCGCCTTATAAATTTTTAAATTCATTTCCCTGAAAGGGTCTGTGTTTCTCTTTATACGAAAGAAAAAAGAAAGAAAGAAAGATGGCTTGTGCATGTCTCTCTTTCCTCTGGACTTCCATTAATGCCGTGTTGGGGTTGACTTGGCCTTATTCTCTCCTTCTATGTTTTGTTATGTATTTTGTTAACCTCAATCTTTGTATTTAACTGAGGGAGAAATTAAGAAACGCGTCTTGGTACATTTATTTGCCCTTCAATTTTCTGCTCAAAAGTAAGTGGTAGGGGCAGGCATTCTCTGCAGTGGCTGACTCCAGTGTCCTCGGGTCCTGCAGAGAGCCTGGGCCCCCACCTCCTGTTAGTTTCAAAATGCTGGGTATGCAGGTGAGCATCAGAAGAGTTTCAGCCAGGAGAAAGATGCAGAGGCTGGGTGATGCTCGCACCTGCTAGTGCCTAGTTGAACTCTCAGGATGCAGGCATGGCCTCACAGCTGAGACCAGTCTGAAATCAGCCAGGCAACAGCCCTTGAGCCCATCCTAACCTGGACGCTTCCCCTTTGAGCACACGAGGGGTTCTCAGAGCCTGTGTTTCAGAAGGAACACCTCGCACGCCCTGGTGCAGGAGCCCATGCTGGCCCTTGCGTGTCCCTGAGTGTGCACCAGCCCCCCCAGGATGCTCACTCTGAGATAAGCCCCGTCAGGTGGGGCACACACGTTCTGGCCAGTGTTAGGTTGCCAAAGTTGCCTCTGATTTCTGCCTCTCATTGTTTCTTAATGTGGTAGGTAACCTATAAAGGGAATTTGCCAGTGTTCTGGGGGAGTCCAAGTGCCTTACAGAATCACCCTGGAGGCCTGGGAAGACCACTGGAGGCCTAGAACAGACATTTGAAAATGTCCTCTAGAACTCTTGAGTATTTTTGTTAAAAGAACCACCACTCTGCCCACTCCCACCCATTCAGGCCACCTAATCCCCCTGCCGGGTCAGCCGCAGCCTCCTTCCTTCTTGTCGGCTTCTGTGAAGCTGTCTGCGGTCACTGTCAAGCAGCTGTACCTACGCCACGGCCTCGGTCTTCCTTCCTCCTTTAATGGGCACCTTCTGGAAAGTTCCGCCAAGAGCAAGAGAGTGGATGTGGATCAACCCACTGACTGTGCCAGCCCCCAAATGTGGACATCCACAACTTCCCCACACCCCTTCCCCAGTCTAGACAGCAATGAAAATACAGCCTTGCCTTTCTCTCAGAGGCTGGCCGGCATTAAATGAGATAGATTTTTAAATGCCTGATACTTAGATTGGTACATGGTGAGTTTTCAGAAACTCTAAACAGCTGTATTATTGTGGCAAAATATGAATTATGAGACAAAATCTGGTACACTGTATTACCAAAGACATCTGTACCACATAAGTTGGTTTTGTTTACATTTTCTAGCAAATGTGGCTTTGTAGTCTCAAAACCATCGGGTGTCAGGATACTAAGGTGCATGCTAAAAGGATAGGACTGCATAAAGGAGTGTACCCAGGCCAAGCCTGACGTGGACAGTCCGGGGACACGGCCAGACTCCTCAGCTGAGACGGGAACGAGAACCTGGCACCCCACTGTGTCTAACTTACGTATCCACTGCGGGCCAGAGCATGGCCCAGCCCTTGGAATCCCCAGCACGCTGGCTCGCTGACAGTGGACAGCCGTCTGCTTCCGTGTGTCCTGATACCAGCTCAGTAACCCAGAGCTGACATGCATGTGGCAAGATTTCTGACAGTCACATCTGCACAACCAGGACCTGCCCCAAGCATCCAAGAGCCCAGCTGAGACCAGCGTCTTCAGAGTCCTGGGAATCTGTGAACGTCCAGACGACATCTTTGGTGGGAGCCTCTGAGAAGATGCTAAGGGGAGCAGGGCACTTGACGTGCCACCTGCCGACAGAGGGGATGGGGCACGACAGAGGTCTCAGCTTCCTCCTCCTTCCCTGGACCAAGGGGTCACTTGGTAAATGACAGCTTGGGACAAATACTGTTATTTGTGTTTTTTTCCACTCAGCAGCTACCACCACACAGCTTGTGGGCCTGGGTAGGTGGCCTCAAGAAGTGATCTTTGTTTTAATTTTGCAATCTTGCCTCGCTGACTGAGTTACTGAACATGTATTGAGTGCCTGCTACGTGTCAGTCACTGTGATGGATGCTAAAGACACAGTAGTGACCCGAAGAGATCGGGTACCACTAGCACTCCAAGATAAGGAGAAGGTAGGCTTCCCCTTGCCAGGGGTTGTCCCCATGGCTGCAGCATCTTCGGGACACTGGAATCACACAAGCTTGTAAGAGGGCTGCCCACCAAGGGCCGTGTGAAGGAGGCAGAGTAGCTCTCCATGAGAGCAGAACAGGAACTGATTTACTTTACAGATGTCCCCCGTTCTTCTTTTAAAAGGACAAACGTGGAAACGATGAGGGATGCCAGCAGCTCGGCGTGATCCTGGAATACATGTTCTCGGTGAACATTTTATCTGGCAGATTTGGGACCTTTTCCATGATCTGATCTGTCAGCGAGCTGAAGAGCTACTCGTTGTGGCTTTTTTTATTTAATAAAACTTTAAAAAATGAGCATGAGAGTCCCAGTGATGTTACCATGACATAGGTAGAACCCAGCACGGCATCAATGTGAGGAGGAGCTGTTCCTTTGACGGTGCAAGGAAGTCGGGGCTAAAATAAACTTCCAAAGGAAAATGTCACCATCGCCGTAGTTTGTTTGTTTGTTTGTTTTAAGATTGTTCCTAAGTTGCTTTCTAGAGAAACCCTGGTGATCAGTTACTGAAAAAAGGCACCCAGTTAAATAGCCAAAGAGCAGCACAGAGGGAGGGTGCAGAGTCCCTCCGTGCCCACCCGGTGAGCCCTGCTCTGGGCCGTCATGCAGCGGCCCACGCCGACGCGCACCGTCCTGCCACCAGATTTCACTTCAGTTCCCCTCTGCCTTTTTGTTCCTCTTTCCCTCTACAGAGTGAAAGTAGCAGCAGTAGCAACATCTCCACCATGTTGGTGACACACGATTACACGGCAGTGAAGGAGGATGAGATAAACGTCTACCAAGGAGAGGTCGTTCAAATTCTGGCCAGCAATCAACAGAACATGTTTCTGGTGTTCCGAGCCGCCACTGACCAGTGCCCCGCAGCCGAGGGCTGGATTCCGGGCTTCGTCCTGGGGCACACCAGTGCAGTCATCATGGAGAACCCCGACGGGGCTCTCAAGTGAGTGCCCGGCAGGGCAGCTGGGGTTGGGGGAGCCTGGGAGGGGGCGCCCATGGAGAGAAAGCTGCGCTGTGGTCAGTTGATTGAGTTCATTCCTAAGTACTATGTGGAACCCCGAAGTGAAGATGGGCTGGCCTTCCCTCTCAGACTCGTTTGATGAGTTCTTTTAATAACCTGTGTTTGCACACACGTGGCTTTTTTAAACCGCTAGGTAGAACACAGCGATATTTTAATTCCCAGAGGTCCTGAGAGGGGAAGCTTTTTAAGACCCCCTAACTCGTTACTGGGTATGCTGAGGGTGCGTGGGTGAAGAGCATCATTCTGTAAGCTGCAGCTAAAGGTCTGTTATGCCATTACCATTACGCCCTATATATACTGGAAGATTATTTCAGTTAAGAAACTTGAAACCAATTTTGCTGCATTAAGCATTATTTTAAAGGAAGCTGAATTCAGCTGCTAGTTTCAGACTCTGCCCTTCCCTGAGTCTCTCTGGCTATGGGAGAGGACAGCCAGGTGGCTTCTGGGAGTGGAAGCATTGCAAACCTATGATTTTTAAGTCTTCAAAGGCTTCAGCCCAAAAAATCAGACTCAAAGGCATTAATAGTGGCCACATTCCTCTCCAGGCATGGCAGTTCCCCTACCTGGGTTTGCAGCCCAGACTGGCCAGCATCCCAGCACCACCCTGTACCTCTGGGCTCGGCGTTCACACCCGGGCTTGAGTCCAGGCTTGAATTCAGGCTGCAAAGAGCCTACGGTCCTACAGTCCCTTGTCCTGTTTCTCCTTGATATATGGAAATATTTTATTCTGGTACATTGTTCAAGAGTCCCGTTTTTTGTTTCGCTTTCTCAAAAATATTCTTAGGTCCTGTATTAGGGTTCTGCAGAGAAACAGAACCAATAGAGTGTAGGGGTGTATGTATATTATAAGGTATTAGCTCATACAATTGTGGAGACTGGCGAGTCCAGATCTGCACTGTGGGCCAGCAGGCTGGGGGCCTGGAAGAGCCAGTGGTACAGATGAAGCCTAAAGGCATTCTGCCAGAGAATTCCCTCTTGCTCAGGGAGGCCAGTCTTTTTGTGTTCTAGTCAGGCCTTCAACTGATTGGATGAAGCCCACCACACTTTGGAGGGCAGTCTGCTTTACTCTACCAGTTAAAATGTCAGTTTCATCCAGGAACACCCAAAATGATGTGTGACCAAATATCTGAGCGCTGTCAAGTTGATACATAAAACTAACCATCCCAGGTACCTTTGTATTTTAATCCTTAAAACTTAATTTAAGAAACTGTTGGTTTTATATCTCTGGTTATCGAGAACCGCAGGAAAGTTTTCCTTAGCAGAGATGACTGTTACTAAAGGAATCTCAGTCCCCTGATAGCCGCCTAAGTTGGACAGTCAGCTCTTCTCTAATGCTTTCAGGAAATCATTTGCTAAACACTGGGGAGGCATAATACTAACAATGTGTTATCCTGCCCCTAGGAAGTCAACATCTTGGCACACAGCACTCCGTTTAAGGAAAAAATCTGAGAAAAAAGATAAAGACGGCAAACGGGAAGGCAAGTTGGAGAACGGTTATCGGAAGTCCCGGGAAGGGCTCAGCAACAAGGTATCTGTGAAGGTGAGCACAGCGCCTCCAGGAACCTATGTCGTTCCTCGGGGAGCAGGAGGCGCCTGGACCGGGTCCTGGCAGCGCCCCGTCTCCCTCTGCCCTGCGAGTAGACCCGAGGGCCTTTCTAGGGGGATAGTGTGGCCCAGGTATGCACAGGTATTCCGAGGAACCAGGTATACAAGTGTACACCTCACTGGGCGCATGCGTGGCTGACAAGGACCGCCGCTAGGTCCCCAGAGGAAGCAGAGACTAGATCCCCAGAGGCAGGCAGAGCATGGGACTCAGACCACAGGGAAGGTGACGAGGTGCTGAGACACAGGGTCACCGGCTGCAGCAAGTTCCCTCGGCAGGAGCTTCAGCCAGCTTTACTCCTGTAACCAGAGTGCCTTAAACCTGTTCGGGTCCTATTTGGAGAAAAAATATTTCCTAAAGGGAATCCAAGGACCTTGGGTCAGGACACTGGCCATTCTGCCAGAAGGAGGGGATCCAGGGATCCGCAGGACTCAGCTCGGCTCGTAGGATGAGAATAAAGGACATCTCCGAGTTTAAGCAGCATTTTCGTGTTTATGGGTAGGAAAGAAAAAACTCCTCCATTTGTGTGACACGAAGCTTTCGGGTGCATTCAAAGGCAGTGAGATACCAGGCAGGCCAAGCTGTCTTTCCTCTCGTCTTTCCACCATAGTTGCAGCCCTGGAGTAAAACTAATGTATCTCAAGATAGCTTATGACTCTGGTTAATAGCTGTGTGCTCCTTCCATTTCAGCTTCTCAATCCCAACTACATATATGACGGTGAGTTCTGCTCTTTTGCTGCTAGTCCTTTAGGGGGCAGGTCTGTGGGGTTTCGGGACACTCGGGTGTAGCCTGTGGACACGGGTTTTCTGTGGAGCTCTGGGCTTGGACGGCATCTTAGGCCACACACATCTGTTGGGGAAGCACTGGTGGGCATGGGAGGGGAGCTGGGTGACCGGCGTGATGGACTCCTTTCTGGTGCAGTTCCCCCAGAATTCGTCATTCCCTTGAGTGAGGTCACGTGTGAGACAGGGGAGACCGTTGTTCTTAGATGTCGGGTCTGTGGCCGCCCCAAGGCCTCGATCACCTGGAAGGGCCCTGAACACAGCACCCTGAACAACGATGACCACTACAGCATCTCCTACAGGTGAGGGGGCCCTTCAGGACAGTGAACGCGACCTCATTTCACTGGGACTGACAGTCGACTCCCTTGGTCACCTTTGGCCCTGGGATGCCCCCTCGTGAGGGAATGTGTCACACCTGGGTGGGCAGCTGGGATTGAAATCCTACTTGAAACTGCCCGTCAGCACCTGAGCTCCTGGTTTCCTGTGTCCCTGAGGCGGGGGGGAGGCTGGCGGCGGGGAGAGCTGAGCCACCCTGAACCTGTGTGCCCTCCTGTGCGGCAGTGACTTGGGAGAGGCCGCTCTGAAGATCGTCGGTGTGACCACCGAGGACGACGGCATCTACACGTGCATCGCTGTGAACGACATGGGGTCAGCCTCGTCTTCGGCGAGTCTGAGGGTTCTAGGTAAGACGCCCCCCATCCCCGCCGCACGCACACACTTGACGTGACCAAAAGTACGTGACACATCACTTGTGGGCTGCAAGGGGCAGACCAGCCTCTGGGGTGCCCAGGCGGGTGACCCCTGGGCAGGCAAGGAGCTTGGCAAAGGCCTCTACCCACGGCCGCTGAGCCCAGGAGCCTCTGGTGCCGGCTGCCAGGAGCAGCAAGGGGCATCCTGTGCTCTTAATGCTCAAAACGCGTTCTCATCTGCAGCTTTTCCTTTGTCTGATTATTTACTTGCCACTTTGGCTCTAAGAGGAACTATTCTAAGTCAGTCTCATGTAGAAGAGAACCAAAAGGAAGGAAAGGAGGGAGTGTGGGTAAGGCCCGTGCAGGCTCTGTGCCCGTGCTAGACCCTGACAGCCCTGCAGTCCTCCCATCCCTCCCATGAGCGCGAGGTGACCTCAGTGGGACGAAAGCCCTCGCTCCCCCCATGCCCAGCAAAGCCTGTTCTCTCTCCTCAGCTGAACGCTGAGCTTCTGGAGGCAGAGCCGTATCTTAGGCCATTTAGAATTTCCTATGGTTGCACTTGACGTGTGCAGATGCTCTGAACCACAAATCCGGGCTGATTTTCAGCTTTGATTTTGCAGAAGGCCCTCTGTGCCATCAGGGATGCTGGTGGGCCCGCCAGCTGCACTGGGTATAGGAAGCTGCTTCCAAGAGTGAAAATTAAAGAACTAAATTAAATAAATGAAGTAAAATAATTTTTAAAAGCTAAGGAAAAGAAAGAAAAGAACTAAAGGTGAACTGAGTCCAGGGGCACCCTGTGTGTAGACAGTGAACACAACTGTCCTAGAACTTCTATCTTATGTATCCTACTCCAGTGTATTTTAACCTCGTTAAGTCAAAGGGTTCTGAGGTTTGGATCATGGTACAAGAAAGGAAGAAAACTTGAATTTGACCACAGATAATCATCCATGTTCTAATTTTAAAAGATGTCACAAAAATTATATAGTTGATTTTTTAAAAATAAATCAGTAGTGAAAGCAAGGAAGTTTAGGGAGACAAGACTCTTCCTAGGAATATGCTGTCTTGTAGAAGTCCGAGGGTGTGTTTATTTCTGTCGCACAAATCCATCTGTTTCTCATACTGAGTCCCAGCACATGGCATGGATTTTACCCTTCGTTCCGTGAACCACAGTTCAGATGCTCAGCGACCCCGAGCGGCTGCCGCGTTGGTCAGCACAGGGCTCTAGTCCCCTCCCCCGAGAGGGGCCCAAGAGCCAGGCTCAGGGAGGTGCCGCTCTTCTTACAGGTCCAGGGAGTGATGGCATCACGGTGACCTGGAAAGACAACTTCGACTGCTTCTACAGCGAAGTGGCTGAGCTTGGCAGGTAGGACGGAAACCCGGAGCCCCTCCTGAGGTCACAGAGTGAGAGACACGGGTCTGTGGAATACCCAGAGAAAGTTACAGGGTGTATTTTGCCGGCAGTTGCAAGTTAGGCGTTTGACCTCTGAAATGTAAATTGTAAACACCTTTCGATATTAAACGTTGAGGAATAAGGAAGACGTTTCCAGCCCAGGTTCCAAGAGAGAATCGACACTTACTGCCCTGTCCCGACCATTGATGGGGTGAACTGACGCCCGCTCTGCATCTAGGGCGGCGCCAGCTGCGCCCCAGCCTTGGGAGAACCCAGGGAAGGGGCGCTCAGACCCCTTCTTATGGGACGTCGTTCTCCTCTGAAACCCAGCTGGGAGAGGCTGAATGTGTCCTGCAGGTTTTGGCTGCACCTGGCGATTTAGAATGTACCCTAAGAGGGGGCTTCAACAGAGTAGGGCTGTCTCTCTCCAGACAGCAGCCAGGGCGCGGGCGGCAGCTCTGCGGTGCCCTCGGTCACCCAGGGTCTGCCACAGCTCCATGTCCACCCCGCGTGGCCCTCATCCACCCTGCAGCGTTTCCTGTGTGGCAGGGGCGTCAGAAGCATGACACCCAAGCTTGTCCCTTTTGAAAAGCTTTCCAAGAAACCCCCCAGCAGCAGCCTCGCAGGTTCTGGTGGCCGTTCCTGGGCTCCTGGCTGCCGAGGTCCGTGCACACACCTGCTGCATCAGCCCCACCTGTCTGCCAGCCGTCTGGCCACACAAGGCTCACCTTGCAGTCAGAGCCACAGGGATGTATCACTTCGTGCGCCACGTGACTGGCCCGGCCAGCATTCTTTTCAATTCTGTTGGTCCCTCCTGGACTCGGTCAGCAGGCACTCCCACCCGCACCCACACGTCTGGCCTCGCCTGGGTCCTGGGCCTCTCTCCACATAGACTTTCACCCCGGGCTTCCTCGTGTGATGGCTGGAGCATCGCAGGAGAGCAGAAGCTGTGAGGCCTCTCAGGGCCCCGCTTCAGAAATGAACAATCGCGCCTTCTCCGTATTCCGTGGGCAGACCGGGCCAGCCAGCCCCAACTCCAGGCAAGAGGAAGAGACTTGGCCTGTCTGAGGCAGGGGGGCAAAGTGGAGTGCCCATCCTCGGCCCAGCACAGTCTGGCCCTGGCCACAGATTTATGTCTTTCCTCACGTTCCCCAGCCCCCAGATCTCATCCTGTGGTGGCAGCGGGCTCAGACCCGAGGTCCTGGATCCGGTCCAGGCACAGCTGAGGCTTCCTGGGGGTGGTTCATTGGGTGCAGCTCCTGAGATCACACACTAGAGATGAGTTACCAGCCCTACACACATACCCTACAACGGCAGGACAGAGCAGGGATGGCAAGAGATACTCCTGTCCAAAGTTGGGGAGGGTGTGGGGTGACCAGAGAGTCATCCATTCCAAGCTGCTTCACGTGGTGAGGAAGGTTTTCCACGAGAGCAAAGTGGAAGCTGCCCGGTAAGTCTCATGGCGTCCCTCCTGCCACGTTCAGAGGTCAGAGGGAGTCACGTGGCCTGCCCTTACACGGGGGAGTCTGCTTCCAGGAGGGGGAGAGGCGGAGTCGCAGGCTGGCTCCCTCGAGGCCATCGTGGGCCACAGAGCCTGCTCTGCACGTGGCCGGGAGAGTAGGCTCACCCGCCAGAGGAGGCCACCCCACATCTGGTCCATTCAGGGTAACAGTGTCTTTTCCCGGTGGCACAGGCAGAGTCCTCTGAAAGCTGTCTTCTCCACCTGCTTTCCAGGGGCAGGTTCTCTGTCGTCAAGAAATGCGATCAGAAGGGAACCAAGCGATCAGTGGCCACGAAGTTTGTGAACAAGAAGTTGATGAAACGTGACCAGGTCACCCGCGAGCTCGGGATCCTGCAGAGCCTGCAGCACCCGCTGCTCGTCAGCCTCCTCGACACCTTCGAGACCCCCACCAGCTACGTCCTGGTTTTAGAAATGTGCGTGCCTGCCCGCTGCCCCTCCTCTCCCTGCCCCAGCCTCAGCCTCAGGTGGCCCTGTTGGTTACTCTCGAAGGAGACAAAGTGGGACTTAGGATTCATAGGACTTCTGAGACACGTGCCCACTCTGAGACCACGGCCGTAGGGCTTCCCGGTGATGGTGCCAGGAAGCAAGGCCTCTGTACAAGCTGCCCACACAGAGGCACAGGCCAAGCAACAGGACACCCGCCACCCAGGCTCCCTAGGGGTCTCAGCCTCCCTGGAGACTCCACCTAGTTCCCAGAGTCCCCTGGGGCTGGGCCACCCTGGCTGAGACCTGCCTGGGGCCCATCCTGGCCCTCAGAGCTCCTGGCCCCCAAAGGGTGGTGACAATGGGGAGATGAGGTGCACCTCACCTAAAGAACGCTCTCCTGGGGTGGCTCTGACCAGAGCAGCCCCGCTGGTCCCCGAGGTCCTCACTGGGCCCTGTGTGCTACCTCAGTAAACGCTCTGTCGTTTAAAGATAAAGAGTATGACGCGTATGACCCAGAGCAGTTTTGCCCCCCAGGGGACGCTTGGCAAACATCTGCAGGCTTTTTGGTTATCACAGCTAGACGTTCCTCAGGGCACAGGCTGGCCTCGCAACAGAGAGTCACTGGCCCAGAGAATCAGTCATGCTGAGGTTGGGAGGCCCTGCCCTTAGACCATCCCGGTCTCTGGACCATCTTGGCATTTAGCTTTGTTTAAATTCCTTTTCCTCCCTTTCAGGGTAGTCATTGCATACATTTATTTACTTGGGTTTACAATGTCATTTCCATTGGCTCAAGTGAAACCTCTAGCGCCGTTTCGTAGTTCTTGACACGTTGTTGTAGGGAGAGGAGGCCGAGCAGGAGGACCGGCCGCTCGGGGCACATTCATGGTGACCACAGCTCCCCGATTGCAGGGCCTCCCTCAAGACAGACTTTCTGTCTGTCATATTCTTAAAGAATTTGTAAGCGCCTCTACCCCACAGCCTTCGTGGGCCTGTTCCGGCCTCTCTCTGGCCTAGCGAACCCGTGAGAGGGCGGCGGGGCAGATGGGTCCTGCCCAGCGCCACCAGTTGTGAGGTCAGGGGACCTGGGCTCGTTCTCAGCCTCGCTCCTGTGGAATCCCAACCACTTTGGAAGGTTGCTGTGGGGCTGAGATGATGTCCAGGCAGAGACCTGGGAAGGGGCTTTCTGGCTCTGGAAGCTTGATGACTGACAGCTACTGCTTATCTTACTCTGGGAATTTTAACACAGTCCTAGCGTGCTGGGCAGACTTCTACAAGACTTCGGTCTGCTTTAAATTTTCAATGCATTTAGCTATTATTTCTTTGCACTGGAAAACTAGATGATTTGGTCTTATCATACTGTAAATAGGATTTCTTTTCACAACAAATTACTCACAACCTAATTCCCATTGACAGCTCGCCATTACCATACAAGTTGCCAATATTCCTACAGATTTCTGTTTTGCAAAGAGGACAGCTTAGACCAATGTTCAGAGAGGCCAGGGCCAGAGCACCCCATTGCAATTCCAGTCTTCACCTCCGAGCTAGGTGTCTTGGGGAAGTTATATACCCTCTCTGTGCCTCAGTTTCCTCATCTGTAAAATGGGGACAACTCTCTTCTCCCAGACTTGTCATGAGGATTAAGTGAGTGGATAGAAAGCATTTAGTCCCTGGCTCACAGCACTATTATGTAAGTATTTTTTAAATGTCGAAAGTAATGTCACAGTAGGAAGACTTTGAGTCCAATGTCTTGGACTTGGATCGCCTGCCTCTTTATTTACATTCCCTCTTTCAGACCACATGGCCCATTTTCCAGATGATGAGACTAAGGCTGGGGGAGATGGGCTCGCGTTATTCCCTCCTGCAGCAGGTACCTGCCGACCACCTGCTGTGTGCAAGGCACTGCCAAGCAGCATGCCCAAGTGGTTTGCACGTCCACAGGGCAGGGTTTGAGTCTCTGCCTCCCAGTTCCCTCCAAGGGTTCAGATGCCTTGTTCCTCACTTGCCTCCACGATGAGGTTAAAAAGAAATCGCCCTCCTGGCCCTGTCGTGCCTTCAGGTGGAGGTGTGAGCCTAAAGTGCCAACGGAACATTGACAGTGGGGCCCAGCTGTGATGTGTGTGTCGCAGGCAGGGCTCTGAGTGACTGACCAAAATCTAAGCAGATCTTGTACGTTCCTCCCTCTGCAGGGCTGACCAGGGACGGCTCCTGGACTGTGTGGTGCGGTGGGGGAACCTCACAGAAGGGAAGATCAGGGCGTATCTGGGCGAGGTTCTGGAAGCCGTCCGATACCTTCACAACTGCAGGATAGCACACCTGGACCTAAAGGTTAGTGGAGTCGCAGGGACGGGAGGGCCACACGTCTGAACCCAGTGAGGCCACGCGGTACCTGAGGCCCACTCTCAGTCTGTCTTCTGAATCCAGGCCAGGAGCCCCCAGGGACTGGGGACAGACACGAGGGGTGGGCCATGGGGGCACTGATTTCTGATCTCTGTTTTTAAGAGTTTGCTCTCAGTGACATATAAATAAGCAATAAAGTACCAGATAAACATTTGAGGTCCTCAGACATTTCTTGCAACTTCAGAAAGTTCCTGTGAATCTTGCTGGGTTGGTGTGCGGCTGGAGCAGCGTGACTGAGACAGGAAGGGGCACGTTGCTGCTGCTGGTGCTGGTAGGGAGAGAGCACTGGCTTCATCCACCTGCTCGGTTAACACAGCAGCCGCGTGCTCCAGGGAGGGGCCGGCCCGGCTGAGTCAGGCAGCCTCTCCTCGGTGTTGGCGCTTTGTCCTCCTCCCGTGGGCTTCATCCTGTTTTGCACGTAAATGGCTGGCCCCCGTCGACCTCATACATTCCTGGGGAGCATCCCGCTTCAGCCTAAGATTGGGGCTGACGGAAATGACAGTTGTCTTATCCTGTCTCCTAGCCCGAAAACATCCTGGTGGATCAGAGTCTAGCCAAGCCAACCATCAAGCTGGCTGACTTTGGAGATGCTGTCCAACTCAACACGACCTACCACATCCACCAGTTACTGGGGAACCCCGAGTTTGCCGCCCCCGAAATCATCCTCGGGAACCCGGTCTCCCTGACCTCGGACACGTGGAGCGTTGGAGTGCTGGCCTACGTGCTTCTGAGTGGCGTGTCCCCCTTCCTGGACGACAGCGTGGAAGAGACCTGCCTGAACATTTGCCGGCTTGACTTTAGTTTCCCAGATGACTACTTCCAAGGAGTGAGCCAGAGGGCCAAGGACTTCGTGTGCTTCCTCCTCCACGAGGACCCCGCCAAGCGTCCCTCGGCTGCGCTGGCCCTCCAGGAGCAGTGGCTGCAGGCGGGCCATGGCCACGGCCACAGCAAAGGCGCAAGCGTCCTGGACACGTCCAGACTGACCTCCTTCATTGAGCGGCGCAAACACCAGAACGATGTTCGACCTATCCGAAGCATTAAAAACTTCTTACAGAGCAGGCTCTTGCCTAGAGTTTGACCTATCCTGAAGTTCTTTCTCATTCTCTTTCACCTGCCAATCAGCTGTTAATTTGAATTGCAACGAGAACCACAAACCAACAGACCTGATCAGCTGCCGTCCGTGCATCGTGTGAAACTGTGAGCTGTGCTCGGGACTCGGGCTGCAAGCTGTGCTGGGGTGGAGGCCCTTCTCGCACATTCTGCGAGATTGGAGACAGCATTGCTGTGTCACAGTCTTTTATTCAGGTTTCTGCAAAAAATAAAAAAAAAAAAAAAAGATAAAAAAGAAACTTTTTTAAATGAACAGGAATCGAGTTTTGCAAATTTAACATTTTCCAAGATTTATTCAAGGAAGCGAAATGCCTATGTTCAACCACTGGTGTTAACAAACAAAACAGAGATACTGGACCCCTCTGGGGAAGGACACCCCCCACCCCCAGCGGCGGCCATCCCCGCGGCCTCGTCTGGAGCTCAGGGTCCACCTGGCTCTGAGCTTTTCCAGCTGCCTGGTCTGTGTGCCTCTCGCCGGGACGCCAGACTAGGCTTCTGAAATGTGCATTCAACCTCAAACTTTTGCATAAAAATAGAATGAATCGTTTTGCTCTGATGAAATGTAGGCCTTACTTGTATATAAGACTGGTCCTGCCTTCGGTCTGTCCCCTCCCCACCTGCCTTCCCTCCCGCTCCCTGCCCACCGGCTGGGGCTTCCTCTGGGGGTCAGTGGGGTCTGCCCATCCACCACCGAGGATATCAGGGTGGGTCCTGCTCCACTGCCCCCTGCCCCCACGGCCCACCCCCAAGCCGTCAGTCAGATTGTTGAGCAGTATACAGTCAGATGAAAATACTGTAAATGCACTCATTGGGGTTTTTTTGGTTTTATTTCATATCATGTGCAATGTTGTGGCTTTAACATTTTATGCAACTATTTATGAAGACCTCTGTTGTACCTGTAATAAATATATAGAAAAAGCACATACTTCGTACGGTGAGCTTTATGGTTTTGTGCGTGTGTCGGGGGTGGGGTGGGGTGGGGGGTCGTAGCCCTGTGCCATCGGTTCAAGGAGACTTAACTCTTCGTGGAATTTGTCAGTTTTGAGGACTGTAAAAAGTGATTTCATACTCTGAATATAAAACTGGATAATAGGGTAATGTTTTAAATTTTATTATGCTATTATTCAGAATGCCAAAGTATTATTTTTTTTCCCAAAATCAGTCTGGACATTTCCTACTTTTTAGACTTTTTGACATTCAACTTTCTGTACAAAAAAAAAAAAATTGGCTGGATTTTGAGCTTTTGGTAAGAAATAAATGCCAATTAAGCACTAGCCGCCTTGAGGCCGGCGTTGCCGTCTGTGGCAGAGCTCACGCTGGTGTGGGAGGCCTTCCACAAAAGACGCTGGGTTTCTGGGCACGCTTGAATTTTTCTGGATGTCTTTTTATCTTTGTTGTGTGAAATCCACTTTAACAAAAAAAAAAAAAAAAAAAACCAGCCCGCTTTCCCAAGCCAGCCAGACACCTGGGTCTTCAGCCATCAACTGGCTTAGTTAAGCTTTGCAGCTTCCGATGTATTTTATTTATTCTTTCGTTGGGTTTTTGTTTGTTTCTTGTAAAATTGTACAGAAACTTTTTAAAAGAAATTGGATTCAGAACTGGATGTGTATTCGTAACCTCACAACTTTTATTTGTGTGTTGTTTCATTTATTATTTCAGTTCCATTTTTACGTTATTTTGCATGTATATTTCTTTGTACAGAGACCTTCCGTGTTTACACAGTATGATGTGATGTAAATATTTTATTTTACCATCAGTTATTTTAAAAAATTAAACATATTTGCCTGATTTTCGTCTTAGGCCTTTTATTTAAATGGGTCACTATTGAATGGAAAAGAGATCGCTGTGGGAAGAGACTGACGGACAGAGGCCTCTGGTGGGTTGGGGCGGGGGGTGGGAAGAGAATATTCTGGATGGGGAATTCACTGTGTGTGGTCCGAAACAGGAGCCAGGCAAGGTCCTGCAGACTGGGTCACAGCCCCGACTCAGAAGACATGGTGTATAAACCAGAATGTCAGCTGACTGCACAGTGGGGCTGCACCTGTCCTGGCTAGAGTGACTAAGGGACCCCCTGTTCTTGATAAGCATAGATTCAGAGCCAAGGGGAAAGCTGTAGCATCCTGGCCACAGAGAAGCATGAATAACGTGGTCCAGATGGACTGAAGAAAGTAAAGCGCTTAGGTTCAATCACCTGCGTTGGGAACAAATCCAAGGACCCACACCTGGGAAGACCCCTCCCCGCCAACCGTGGTGGCTTCTGCCTGCTTCTGACAGCAGGTCCTCTCCCCTGGTGACCCCTGGCATCTCTCTTGTTTTGATTCCTTTTTGCTTTCTTTTTTTGAATTCACTACCCCTGGGATGGTGACTTTGCTCAGCACACCATAAAGGTTTTACTTTTCATCTGTTTGCTGAAATCCCGAAGTTCAGTGTGAGAGGACGACATTTGGGCCAAGACCCTGGGTCCGGGCACAGGAAGCTCGTGCTCCCTGAGGTGAGTGCTTCCTCCTGGATCCCAGGGACATCAGTGCTCAATGGGCTCTGAAAAGATGGAAACGTGGGGTCGGTTCTAACTTGAGCAACGGGGGAGGCAAGGGTCTGCTGGTTTCAATTGGACACTTGCTGAATGATGTAAGGATGCTCGTGAGTTAACAAAGCATCTCGCAGGTGAAAAGTGGCCTGTCGTGATCACAACCCAGATTTCTCAAATAGCAAAATATTATTCTGCATGTTACTATTTATGTATTTTTTTAAATCCAAGCATTCTCTTTAGCTCTAACGGAAAAAAGATCACCAGTATTTTAGCAACATAAATTATAAGCATCATCTTATAGCAAGTCATATCCAAAGGATATTAGACCATCTTAGATCACTGGAAAGAAAGGTCCTTTCAACTACACTTTCAGACAACTGTAGAGACAGAATTCGTGGGACTGATAGATTGCTCTGTGTGTACATGTGTGGTTTAACTTAAAAAAAAATAAGATACACAAACCATGATTATATAGCTCAATACATTTCTATAGGTATATTTGTGTCTGTGATTGCCATCCAAAGCAAAACAATCCAACATTTCCATCATCCCCGAGAAGGTCCCCCCTGCCCCTCCCTAGTTAGTCCCTCCCTGCCACCCACTGGCGGACGCCTGAATCTTTCCCAGCTTTTGGCTATTACAAATAAAGCTTCTCTGGACATTTGTGTACAGATTTTGGGGGGAACATTCATCTTCATGTCTCTGACATAAATGTCAGACAATTTCCTGATCATATGGTAAGTGCGTATTTCATTTTTTAATGGTTTGCTAAACTGTTTTTCAGACTCTACCATTTTACATTCACACCAACAATGTATGAAAAATCCAGATTCTTCAAATCTCCAGCATTTGATGGTGTCACTAACTTTTTTTTTTTTTTTGGCAGGGGGCATTCTGACAAGTGTATAGTGATGTGTTACGTGGTTTTGATTTGCATTTCCCTAGTGGCTAATGATGTTGAACACTTTCCCTGTGCTTAATTGCCATCTGCTTCTCCTCTTGAGTGAAAAGTCTCTTCAGATCCTTTGCCCATTTTCTACTGAAGTTTTGCACTTTTTACTGTTGAGATTTGAGAGTTCCTTATGTATTCTAGGTGCTAGTCCTTTGTCAGAGAAGTGGTTTACAGGTATTTCCCCGACTTTACAGTTTGTCTTTCTATCTTCCTAACAGGCGCTTTCATAGAGGAAAAAGGTTTTAATTTTGATGAATTCCTGTTGATCAGTTCTTTTCTGGACCAAGCTTCTTGTTGTTGAGTCTAAGAACTCTTTACCTGGATTGAAGCTTTTTCTCCTTAGTTTTTTCCTAAACGTTTTTAAGTTTTACATTATACATATAAATCCCTGATCCATTTTGAGTTAATTTTTGAAAAAGTTATAAAATATAGGTTGAGGGGTTTTTCGTTATTTTTAGTTTGCTTGTTTTCTTCTTTTTGTTTTGCAGATGGATGGCCAATTAATCCAGTATGACTTGTTGAAAAGGTACCCTTTTTTGATTTTGTCAGAAATCTGTTGGGCCTGTTTATGTGGGTCTATGTCTGGGTTCTCGTTTCTGTTCCGTTGCTCTAATTTTCTGCCCCTCGATTGATACCACGCAGTGTGGATTGCTGTTGGTGTACAATGAGTCTTGATATCAGATAGACTGTACTGCTCCCCCTGCCTTTATTCTCTTTTTCAAAATTAGTTTAGCTATTCTCCTTTGCCTTTCCAGATAAATTTGAGAATAGTCTTGTCTGTAGCTACAAAATATCTTGCTGTAAGTTTTATAGAAATTGCATTAAATCTGTGTATCAGTTTGGGAAGTCTTTACTATGTTGAGTCCTCCAATCCACGAATACAACATGGCTCGCCTTTTATTTAGATTTCCTTTGATTTCTTTCATCAGCATTTTGTTGTTTTAAAAGTTCTTGCACGTGTCTTGTTAGAATTATACCTAAGTATTTCTCTTTTAAGCAACTATAAATATTCTATTTTTAATTTTATTGTCCATGAATTCATTACTGCTATACAGAAATACAATTGATTTTTTAATTTTATCATTTGTTTTACATACTTGCTATACTCCCTAGTTCTAGGTGTTTTTATAGATTCCTTGGGATTCTCTACATGACTATGTCATCTGCAAATAAAGGACAGTTTTATTTCTTCTGCTCCAATTTGTATACTTTTTATTTCTTTTTCTTTTCTTATTGCACTAGTTACAACTTCCCATATTATGGTGAATACAAGTGGTGAGAGCAGACATCCTTGTCTTGTTCCTGGTCTTAAGTGGGAAAGCATTCCATCCTTCACCACTAAGTGCAGAGTAAGCCGTAGACTTTTACACTCTTTACCAAGCTGAGGATGTTCTCTGTTCCTGTTTTTCCGAGTTTTTACCGTGAATGGGGGTTGAATGTTGCCAAATGTGTTTTCTATGTCAATAGATCATGTAATTTTTCTTCTTTAGCCTGTTAGTATGATACATTATATGGATTGATGTTTGAATATCAAGCCAACCTTGCATCCTTGGAGTGAACCCCATGAGGTCGTGGTGTATAATTCTTTCTATGTTTCTGAATTGTATTTGGTAATATTTTGTTAAGGATTTTTATATCTATATTCATAAGGGATAGTGGTTGTAATTTCCTTTTCTGTGTATGTACTTTTGATTTTGGTATAGGTACTGATAGCTTCATAAAATGAATTAAGAAGTGTTATCTCCTCTTCTGTTTTCTAGAAGAGATTGTGTAAGATTGATGTTAATTCTTTAAATGTTTGGGAGACTTCTCTAGTGGAACCATGTAGCCTAGAGAATTTTTTATGTGAAATTTTTACATTATGAATTTGCTTTCCCGAATTGTTGCTGTTATTCAAATGACCTGCTTCATAGATAGTGAACTATGATAGGTTGTGCTTTTCAAATTGATCTATGTTCTGTCTAGTTATTCAATCAATTATTGTTAGAAGAACTATAATTATGGATTTTTCTGTTTCTTCTTTCACTTCTCTCAGTTTTTGCTACATATAATTTGCAGCTCTGTTCTTTGATGCACACACACTTGGGAGAACTATGTCTCCTTGGTGGGTTAACCCTTATATCACTGTGTGACATACCATTCTTCTCTCTAGCAGTTTTCTTTGCTCCAATATCTACTTTATCTGATACTAATGTAGTTACTCCTACTTTTTTAAAATTAATGTTAGCATCTTTTCCTATCCTTTACCTGTTACCATATCTGTATCATTATATATGAGTAGATTTCTTACAGACAACGTCTAGTTGGATCATGTTTTTTAATCCACTGTGCCCATCTCTGTCTGTTAATTGGTGTATTTGGATTATTTACATTTAATGTAATTATTGGTAGGGTTGAGGCTTAAGCCTGCACTTTTATTTTTTGGTTTATTGTTCTGCTTCCCACTTTTCCGTTTTCTTTTGCCTGCCTCTGCCTTCCTGTGGGTTGCTTGAGCACTTTTAGAATTTCATTTTGATTTATCCATCCTGATTTTGAATGTATCTCTCTGTATAGCTTTAGTGGTTGCTCTAGGAATTGCATTATACATACATAACTCATCACAGTCTACTGGTGTCATCACTTCACCGGTGTTTGTAAAATATAGAAAACTTACGTCTCTTTATGTCTCATTACCCTCTCTAGTTTATAGTTGTTTTAAATATTTCCTGTACAGACATTTAGAACCACATCACATGATGTTATAACTTAGTTTCAACTATCAAACATAATTTAAAAAACTAAAATGTATTCTACTTATATATATTTTTACTCTTTCCATTGTTCTTCCTTCTTTCCTAATATTCCAACATTTCTTTACCCTTTCCTTTCTATTCAGAGAACTAGCTTTAGCCATTCCATTAGGGTAGTTCTGCTGGCAACAAATTCTCTTGGTTTTCCTTCATCTGATAATGCCTGTTTCTACCCTTTCATTCCTGACATTTCCCCTAGATATAGAATTCTGGGTTGACAAGGTTTTTTTTCTTTCTGCACTTGGAAAACGTGCAATGCTGCTTCATTCAGGACTTCATGATTTCTGATAAGAAATTTACTGTCATTTTTTCCTCTTATAATTAAGATATTTTTCTCCCACTTTCAAGATTTTTTGTTTGTTTTTAATTTTCAGAAGTTTGCCAATGATGTGTCTTAGTGTGAATTTCTTTGTATTTATTCTGAGATTCACTCAGATTCCTGAATCTGTAGGTTTTGTATCTTTTGCCAAATTTTCAGTCATTTTTTCCAAGTACTTGTAGAGCCCTGCCTTCTCTT